CCTTCCCCCCCTTATCCGCAAACATAAAATTTACTTACACTGCATTTGTGATCTGAATGGTTTTGGCACTTAACCAAGTTAAGTACCAGGTTTAGGGCACAGAACACATAAATTTGAATCTTGAATTCAGCACTAATCATTAAAGTAATTGTTAAGTTCCTAAAAATCTCCATTCCCCAGTTTTCCCATATGCAAAATGGAAAAATAACAGTATCTAGGCTTTACTCTCCCTTCATGCTTGATTGATGATTTGACTAAGTATGACCTTCTAGGTTGAGTACTTGTCATCAGAACTTTGAAGACATTTTCCCCAGTCTTTTAGCATGGCTGATAAGAAATCTCTTGGCTCTCTCATTCTCTTGTCTTGATCATAATTTGCTCCATCAGAATACTCGATGCTCAATAATTTAGAGTCCTCTATTTTTGGCATGCTGAAAGTATATTTATATTTATTTATTTTGACTAGAAGACTTTTTCCTTTAATGCCATAAATTGAAACTTAGTAGACAGATAAGCTCAATATGGGTAATGTTCAGTTTTACTCTATTCACTATTGTAAGCCCAGTGTACTGCATTGCATTGAGCACACAGCAGATATTAAGTAAATATTTGTTGAATAAATAAATGAATGATCTTTCCCAAATCCAAAAGATATTTAATAACATACAATCCAAAGATTTCACTCTACAAAACTTAAAACCACTTTAACAATGATAAAGAATACAAGAGTCACAGTGATTCCACAGAATATCTGTTATTATGTCCTTCTTTCCAGCTAAAATATTAAGTGCCAGGTTCTTTGCACAAATTTTCTTTCTCAGTCTTGAAACAATCTGGAAATTAAAATGAAAAATGAGGACTCTGCCTCAAAGATTTACCTGAAATCATTGTATAAGGTAATGATAGAACTGAAATTAGAATTTAAACCTGATAGTAAAGTCCAGGATTCTCATTTGATACCTGCCATATGTAAATTAGTATCTATACATTGCATTCGAACTCAGTCTTCCACATCACTCCATGGCAGTCATTTATCATATGTGATCATCATTTTCTCAGGATAACAAAAGACATTTTTTAGTTTTCTATCATTTATTCTCTCCCTTCTTTTAGACCTCCACCTTCATTCTTACACTCCCAAATAAATTTGATCACCTTTATACATAATATAAAATGTTATGTTAACTTGTTTACTGATTGAATAAATGTGAAACATTTTCTTTTATTGCCCAGACAAGTGTGTGCTTGTACAGAACAGAATTAAATTTAAAAAGAGTATTGCTTATTAGGTATCCTGAAACACTCTATGCATGGAAGATTCACATAATGATCAATTATAACCTTTTAGCTTCAAAATCATTTTAGCTGTCCATTTTTGAATGTGTAATTATCTTGGAGCTTCATCTCTTAGTTATTTGGTTCTCAAATTTGTATAATTACGGTCAGTATTTTGTTAGAAAATTAAACCAAAAATCTAGAAGCATAAGAAAAATTACTCATTCATTACCACAACCACAAAATATATTACTAAAATTATTTTAAAGTCCTATATTTTAAAAAGTAAGTATATTTGAATATTTTAATTTAGGAAACTGAATGCTACACTGTATGATGTTTGATTCAGGGAAATTTTTTAATAAAAAAGTTATTTTCCTTGTGAATTTGAAGATATAATTTCCTAGTCAAAGCTTACTATAGGTTACTTTTTCAGAACAGCTGAATGACAGTTTTTCAACTCTTTATGCAAACCTGATTGCAGCTAGATTTTCTCAACATTACAATGAAGTCAAATCAAGCTGAAGAAATTTAAACCAACTTGTCAAGATCCCGTGGAGTCTCCTGGAGAATGAAACACATGATCCATTACCATAGCTTTTGGTGACAACAGAAGGATCAGCTTTCATAGTTCAACAAGATAAAAATCAATATAGTATCTCTCTTTCATCCTCTTGATGGAAACTAATGAGGAAACAAGGGTTTGCCTCTGAATAAAATATAAGAAATAATAGCCTTCAATTTAGTAAATCTCCAAATACACGACTTTGAAGATGCATTTTAGAAACCATTATGACACCAAATTCTTAAAAACAAAACTGGTTTTTTTGAAAAGAATCTTCAAAGGAAGAAATGTGATTTATACAGTTTATCATGTTGACATCAATTTTATGCAACTAAATAGTATAAGAATGAAAAGTTCAGCTACTTTAAAAATTAAGACATAAACTCTCATATCAGGCCCTAAATGATAATTACAAGAGAAGCACATAGATTTATTTCTTAATATGTGTTTGTGCACTGGCCAGACTACTCCACAATGCCTATTTTATTATGATTAAATAAAATTTTGTTTCAATTTTAACTGTATAACATGCTCACTCACTCATATATATGGCAAAAAAGAGTATAAGGAATTTACATTTAGAATTTCTTTCTTGAAAACTATTAAGAAAGACCAGTGAAGCAATCATCGAGTCATTTTATGTTTAATTCAAATCTTAGATGTATTGAATGTGAAAATTTGAAGCAATCATAAGCAATCGTCTGTTCTCCTTTTCTTAGTTGAAACTGTGTCCAAAGAGGTTAAAGAGCCTTGACACATAGGATCATCAGAGAGGGTTGATGAGAGTTCTGAAGTCAGTAAAAAATGCTATAATGCAACTACCCCCAAACAAAACATTTTTATTTAAAACAAAACATCTCTTTGGATGGACAATATGCTCTTAACTAAGCAGTTTTCCTATTTGATTGAAAGAGAAACTTACATATCTAATGATAGAAGAGTATGCAGGTTGTTACTTCAGAATACAACTAGGTAAATCTGATGTCACTTTTGAAATACCATGGATTATGCTTTCTTCTTAAATATCTTCTTTAAAATTGTATGATATAGTCAAAGAAATAACCCATTAGGATGCAACATATACAAGGAATAATTTTTCCAGTAGTCTATTTGTCCTCCTACAGAACACGTAAGATTCTAAGGAAAAGGGTAAATAAAATTGTTAATATTGAAAAACAAAACAAAACCTCCACTAAATGTCAATTTTTTTTTCTAGCAAGGCTAATATTACTAAGACTTTATTCTAATCTCCACTTTTGAAAGAAAATACAGTTTTCCATCTACTGGTAACAGCAAAACAATTCACCTTAGCTATGCACTAAAATTATAGTAATAATTCATTTTAGCAATGGTGCAATTACAAAGCCATGTTTCTATATTTATAGTGATTGCGCTTCACCAGAGCCCTAAATGGGAATACATAACATAGTAATAAAATTCTAATGCACATTTTTCAAAACAAGTTTCAGGATATGGGTAGTATATCTCAGACTTTTATAGTGCCTATACCTTAATAAACATAACTTCTTTCACTCTCTGTTCCATCACAAGATCCAGGTGATACACTTGAGTGTTTCCTTTTCCTATCACAATGATTTCAAAGTTTTATTAAAAGGCCAGTCTTATTCCTGTTAGACTGGAGAGGCTTGTGATTAGTAATGTCACACATACATGAACCAAGGCATTCATATCACTATACAACATTTTTAAAATCATTAGTGAACAGCCAATTGAAAATTTAAAAAAAACCTATTAAAACAGTTCCAAAAAAAACACAGGTTTATTTCTGACTTAAATATCACACATTTTCAACTTTGATAGAGATTTTGGCCAAATTTATAATATTTCTTATAAAACCCTGGTTTATTCCAGAAAGTTAGCAAAAACTGATTATAAGGAAAAAGCAACATTGGTATATAGAAGAGTATCATGTTCTTTAACAAGAAGTTTCTGAAATAACTTTGTCCTTAAAATGCAGAATCATCCAGAAAGTTCACCCATGGCACTCATTCCCTTAAGTTAGTCACAACGTCATTTCTGTTCTCCTTCACCCCTCCTAGTAACTGAACCTTTATTAGTTTATACTCTGCTTGAAATTAAAAACAAGAGAATTAAGGTCCATGCTTTAGAAATAGGCTAATTTCATGCTGAGAGTGAATGCCTAGTTAGCAAATAAAATGATGGTAAATATTACATGTTTACCAGGAAATACAAATTACTAAACTTAGAACAATGTTTAAAAGAAAGAAAAATAAGGGGAGAAAGAGGTAAATATCCCTCCAAAGAAAATAAACAGTTCTAAGTCCTTGAATTTACCACCAATTCCCAAATGTAGGGTCAGTAGTAAGAACATCAAACCTCACCCCTCTACTTTGACTCCACTGAAGCAAAGGGAGAGGAGAAAAGATTTGCAAGAACCCATCAGGATCGTCTTTTCTGCTAGTGCTGCCCTAGCTCAATTTCCAAGCCAGGAGTTTGCCTTTGAACTCCACTGAAGCAAAGGAAGGAGGAGAAAAGAAATTTGCAAGAACCCATCAGGTCGTCTTTCTGCTAGTGTGCCCTAGCTAATTTTCCAAGCCAGGAAGTTTGCCTCACCCTCAACAGGCAGCCAGAGTGAGTGGAAGGGAATGTGGAAAAATGAAATACACCTTCCTCACCAAGCCAGGTAGGATGCGACTCCCAGCAGACTGAGCGGGTAGAGCCAATCATACAGAAGGGGATGCTGACATAACTTTTATCTTTAAAGCAGTTGGGCCAATTGTGCTCAAAGAGGCGGGGCTTCCCATAATGAGAAACCAAGCCCAGTTAGGGAAAGGGCTCCGTTTTTTCTTAAAAGAAAAATAAACCTTTTCTGCCCTCTCAGCCCAAGGGAGAACGTTTTGAGTGGTCTTGCAAGACTCAACTTCTTTTCCCCAGGGATTAGACTGCCTCCCTCTTTTCCGCCCTGGCATCCTCCTCGTTTATTCTGGGGCCACACAGACGTCTTTCCTCCGGGGTACTATTCTGAATCTGCTTCCAAGAGACCCTGGGGAACTAAGGCATGTGCCTTAATTAGTTTTCCCCAGGCTGGTGAGGATTCCTGTTAAATTTTGGTCAATTTATTCGTTTATGTTATTTGAAGGTGGGAGATCGTCTCATTTCCCTCTTGTCAGACTCCTACCTGACATATATGGCCCGCTCTCTCGGAGATGTTGAACACAGATTTGATGAATAAGTGAGCAGGGTCCCGCACATTCTGCCATCCCCGCGGTGTTTCCTTCGCCCACCCCCTTCTACCGGCTCTTCTAGTGAGAGGAATTGCAGGTCCTATCCTCTCATCAGGTTCCAAAAAATGAACGTTTAATGGGAGAATGGCAAAGTCACACTATCACGCCTTACAAAATCACAGAAACAAACTCCAATTGTGAAAAGGTCCTTTTAGCCAGAGCGTTGTAGACATATTACTTGGGAGATCCTTGTTTTCCCTCTCCCTTCTAGTTGCTCTGTGTGCTTTGAGCTCCAGTGTTTGGGTTCTAACTTCAGAGGCTGCTGCTTAGAGTTTGCGCAGAAGAGCCCGAGTTTTTGCATGGCAACCAGAAGCCCAGCTTGGGCAGCTGGAAAAACTGTACTGTCAAAAACGGTGGTGGTGGAGAAACAGGCTCTTTGTGCCCACCATCTTCTGCCTTTACACAGCTTGAGCTAAATCCCTGCTTCCCGCGGTCATTGGCCTGAGGTTGGGGGTCTTTGGCTGGTATCATTAATCACTCCACAACACTTGGAATTAGTCAGATTCAGGGCTGAACTGAAATTTCCGCCTTAGTTACTTGGAGAAAATTGTTCCAATGCAAACTGTTCAAGCAGAAGTAACCTTGTTTGTGTATGGCGGTAAGAAAACTGTTTGCTGCATTTACCCATTGAAATCATTAAAGGAAATTGGATGGGTTAAAAGGCTACAGATTTTTTCCTGCCCAGAATAACAGAATGGCATTGCAGTGCTGAGATTTTCTCTCCCGTCTTTGATTCTTTCATCCTTTTAGTTTTCTTCTGAAAATACATGTTTGACGCCTCTTCTGTTTCTCTCTTCTCATTGGCACATTAAATTAGACAGCATGTTTTCTCTCCACGGAGCAATGTTAATCAAAGTAGCCTATCCAAAGAATTTAATATTTCAGTAAAGATTCATTATACTAGTATTTTGAGACAGGTAATTTTAGGTAACAAGTGTGTAAATACAAAATCCAGGTTGTTTTATATTTCTTTTCTTATATTAGAATATGGTTTGGACTAGTTATTTAACTGTTTCATTGGATACAACACTATTCATTGATCTGATTACCTGTGAAAATAGGAATTAGTTCACTTAAGTATGTTGTGAATAAACAAAATCCTTGTCTAGTAACTTCTGTAGATTTTGGCTAAAGATTAGGGAAAGATTTTGCAAACCATTGATGGAATCATGATACTGCCTAATGTTCTACAACAGTAGCAGATAGTCCTCCCATCATATATTCTTAATCAAAGGTATTATATCCTCAGCTCTTCTGATATGTAACTGAATGAGATAGTGCTGATCACGGCAGTTAAAAGAAATTAATGGAGAGGAACAGGTGAAGGATATAATCCTTGGGTAGTAACAAGGTAGCTCGCTTTTTCTTCAGTAAAGCCTAAAGGGCTAGAAAAAAATGGAAATAAGATTCCCTACATTTCCCCACACTAGTCAAATGAGTTTTTGTCAATTGTGCTGAAATATTTTTCATTTTTTTGTTGAGCACTTTTACTGAACTCTTCACTTCCTATATTCATATAGTATAATATATAATATATATAATCTTCCTTTTTTATAATTCATTTTATTCTCAGAAATTGATTCTATCTGCTAAGATGGTTAATTATATTTCACCGAAAAATGTGTACAAGTGATCTAAGGCCCTCTGGAAACCTGAAAAGAGTGATGGCTTTTGTATATTTGCATGTCTTGACCTTAAGAAATGTGGTCCCTTTTGGAACTGAATAATGAGTTGTATGTTGATGTGTGAAGGGAACCCTTATATTTTCATATGTTTTGAATAAAGCAAACAAGGTCAATACCGTTTGTCCACACAAACCACGTGTCTCACCCAACCACATTAAGAAGGGAGCAGATCTCAGGTAGATGTCCAGAGGAATTCTAGGTTCGTGGACCAGAAAAAGTTGCTAATTGGTATAAAGGAACTGGAGGAAAGCTCTTCCCCTAGCATTTCATTAAAGCAGTGGGTTTTTAACTGGAGTAAATTTTAACCTATGGACTTTGGGCATGTCTGGAGCGTTTTCTTTCTGTTGCAATTTTGGCAAGAGGGTGGAATGTGCTAACTGATGTCTAGTGGATAAACGATTAGGGTTGTTGCTGGCATAACCTTAATGTACAAAAAGTTCCACAACAAGAATTTCAGAGCTCAAGTGTCTAGTGCCAAGATCAAGGGAGCCCTTGTTATGAGTAAAAGGGATAGCTTCTTGTATGAACTATCAACTCTTGTACATACTAATAATTTTTCCCTCCAACTTTGTTCTTACAATAAAATGCTTTGTACCCTATTTCAAAATGCAGATATGTGGGCTTCAACATTGAAACTTAATGAATTTAGAACTTTTTAGTAAGAATTTTCAGTTTGCATGTTATTACCCATTATCTCACAAAGGAAACAGGACTTTGTCCTATTATGTAATGTACGCCCTTCCCCTAGCAAAAAAATGACAAATGAGTCACCTGTCATTTGGCCATCTATTCAAAAAAGCCATTGATTAAAGGAAAGTCATGGTGTCAGGGACTTGCCTGGCTTTAGGATAACAATTGTGAACAAGACTCACTGGCCTTTGCACCCTTGCTTTCTGACCTTCATCTATAATAAAGGATGCTAAGAATTTCTTATTATGCAAAATTATACCTATTGCAACTATCCAGGTATGTATGGAAGAGGGGATAAAGGAGAGTGTGGCCTGGGGATGAAATTCAAGTAATTATATATTTTGATGGTCTGTAAGAACTTTTGTAATACCGGACACAATGTACCGCCCACAGCCAAAAATACAAAACCGAAGAAAAATCCAACAGCATCACTAAAACCAACAAAAAGAATTTCTACATATCTTGTTTTGACTTGTTTTAAAGATTGAAAGGTTTATACATTGGGGACACTTGAAATAGTGCTTGGATAATAGAAATTACTCAAAATATTAATTATTGTCTTTCTATTAATGATAGGTTTTTAATCTAAGTAATTCACTCCAGTCCCCCAGAAACAGAACTTTCTAGAATAGCGGTAACAATCTAATGAAGAAGAGGAAAGAATGAGGTGCACTGATGTTCTCAATCGCCTCTACATAATCCTGATGTCTGGCTTCTCCAAGAGCATATATTACTTATATTTGCCTCTCCTGTTATACTTTTCTTATGATTTCAGGATCTTGACATCATCGCATGCAGGTATCATACTTCTCTGTTATATCACATGCTACTCTTAATACTTAGGAGATTGTTCTCTTCACCACTGCCTAAATCCTCCTAATTCTTTTGATTAAGTTTAGGGGTCTTTTGTTTTAGAGTCTTCATATAATTGTTCACTACATGCTAGTTTTTCCATTTAAGAAAAGATCTATGAAATATGTTAATAATTTCTCAAGTACCTAGGTTAGCAGGTGTGTTAGTTTTTACAACAACCTTGACAAATACCTGAGAATTGATTTAAGAGATAGAAGAGAAAAGCATACATTTTGGTTCATTATTTTCAATAGGTTTTTAGCTTCATAATTTGTTTACCCTCATTTTTTGAGCCTGAAGTGAGTTAAAGTTTTATCAAATGGTGGGCACAATGTGTAAAGAAGCGACTGCTCACCTCATGATCTCATGGCAGTCCAGGAAAGAGAGAGAAAAACAAAACCAAGATTTAAGATGAAAGAATCTGGGCATGGGATATAATCTTCAAAGGCACTGCCCCCCAAAGTCTTTCTTTGTCCAACCAGGCCCTGTCGCCTAGTTCTTCCACTAATATTTGCTATCAAATAATGACTCTGTTAAACAGATTTGAATCCATTGATTAGGTTCAGAAGCTCTCATAATCTAGTCATATATCAATGATTGCACCCATCAGCTGGGGACCAAGATCATCAAAAAAACAAGGTTTTGTGGTTATGCTTCTTATCCAACCACACACCGCCCAGGCATAGTTTCTTTAACAGTCTGAAATTATAGTACACATAGTTGTCTCTCATCCTAAAACAACTGCTTCTTATATTGTTGTACTCATAACATATGAACATTTTCAGTAAATTAAACTAATGTCTTATCCAAACTGTCAGTTCTGTATCTAAATTTTGTGGATCAATGATTACAGTGCTTTATGATATTGGCATTATATTATGTGTCTGTTACGTTCAATAATTTGGTTAGTACCTTTGGTTCTTCTGAGATGTAACGCCATGCAGGTGAAGACTTCCTATTTGTTTTTATCTCGCACAGTAAAACTTTATTGTCCAAAGCAAAGCTAGTGTGTAATAGTACTCACTGTAACACCTGTATAGCAAATAAGAAATTATGCACAATTGAATGAATGACCAAATGAGTGACTGCAATCCTTTTAATACATTTATGAAACTATTCAGGGATCTTCTGTTTTCTCATCATAGACTTCTAAATATCCAAACATTTTTTTTTTTTTTTTTTGTTTTTTTTTTTTTCACATCTTAGGTACCTCACTTATTTCTTCCTATCAACACCAACGGAATCATTATTTTTTCTGATTTATAAGTTACTAGGACCAAAATTCACAAACTCAACCACTTCGTTTTTGTGAATCATTTATTGTTTATGCCAAACAATGGTGAGCACCGTTATAAGAATATTTCAAGAGGGGGATTCCAAGATGGCGGCTAGAGGTAGGAAGCAGAAAGCGAGCCTCCTATAGTGAAATCTTGGAGAGACGCTGGAGACACACTTTGCAGGCATAATCACCGAGAAAAGGCATAACTTTGACTCCTCCACATCTCCAGCCGGCGCAGAGAATCTCCACTTCACGTTAAACGGAGAACCGAGGAGGCCCCCGGGGCCGCCAGTGGCCGGCGCCCATACGGCTTGGGAAGACGCAGACCAGGTGAGCTTCGCGGTACCGCGGTTCCCCCACAGACAAGCCTGGGCCAGAGCAGCATAGCCCCCTGGACAGACTGACCTCCACCCGGGAAAAAAAGAAAGAAACTGAGTACTAAGCAATAAACAGTTAAGACACGCTGGAAA